GTATCATCCCCTCCACTTATTTCATTACCAATTTTACCGTTGAAGTCGCCAACAATGATGATATTATCACTAATCTCATTGATTTCTATTTTTTCAGCGAGTAAACTTACAAACAATTCATTTGTAAGTGTACGATTAGTACCCTCACATGGAAAGTAGACAATAGCAATATAATATACACCTTGTGGTGAGTCATCAAATTGAACTTTAACCCAAAGACGTTCGAGGCTATCTGACATTGTATCTAAAACATTATTATCTAAAATTTTAATGTTATTTTTTATCAAAAGACCAATACCCCCTTGACTTTTCTTGAATTCATTTGATCTGTATTTACCAGTCCAATTATATCCATTAACTTTTATGTCTGTATCCTTCGATAAAAATGTTTCAACCATACCAAAGATATCAATATTATTGTTGTGAATACATTTTTGCACATCATATTTTTTACTTTTAAAACCTCTAATATTGTTGTAAGCAATTTTGATATTCTTATTAACTACACGCTTATGGTTTTTGCCACGTCTAACTTTTTTGTGTTTATTTAAATGCCTTGTTTTTATCGGATTTTATCGAAGTAAAATTGTCTAGGTTAAAATTACTATTATTAACATGATTTTCACATTCATCTAAAAGATAATGGAAATGATTTTTATCAATAAAAGGTTGAGAAAAATTACCCTGATGAATCTCCTGATTAAATTCAGGGTCGGCATTTTCTTCTTTGCCAGAATCCTATTGCTGTCGACATATGTTATGACCTTGCTTGTGACCGAGTTGATGGCAGCTATTGCAGCAAATTGGTTTGGTCTTTAACCATATGGTTCTTTTCGCCACAGTAATAGCAAGTGGATCTCTGTCGTTTTGCGTGACGCTTGTGTTGGTTGTTGGGTCGCGAGTGCTTTTGTTGTACAGTTCTATCAGCCTTTTCTTTGATGATGGGATAAACTTTATCGATGATTTGCATATCTCTACCACCATTGAATAGATCTCAACAGGAAGTTTTCTTTTATATGAATCCATCACAGTCCCCTAAACCTGGACCATCTAATCCTAGTGTAATTACTAGTCCCAAAATTACAACAAAGAGAGTGAAATGTATTGAACAATGTTCCTTTAACGGTAAAGGTGGAAACCCAATAAAATGTGCGCTGTGCCTAAGTGAATTTCATCACCGATGCGTTGGAGTTGCTTCATCGTCGAAAAGATCTTGGTTTTGCTCCAATTGTCGAAACATACAGTCAACTACTGCGACACTTCAATTAATAATTGGACAACAAAATGACGCTATGATGAAAATCACAGAA